TAAACAAACACTGACATCCCATCCTACAACTTTTACATTTAGTTAGATACTTGGGTTGAAAACAGATTCTAAACAAACACTGACATCCCATCCTACAACTTTTACATTTAGTTAGATACTTGGGTGGAAAACAGATTCTAAACAAACACTGACATCCCATCCTACAACTTTTACATTTAGTTAGATACTTGGGTTGAAAACAGATTCTAAACAAACACTGACATCCCATCCTACAACTTTTACATTTAGTTAGATACTTGGGTGGAAAACAGATTATAAACAAACACTGACATCTCATCCTACAACTTTTACATTTAGTTAGATACTTGTGTGGACAACAGATTCTAAACAAACACTGATATCCCATCTTACAACTTTTACATTTAGTTAGATACATGGGTTGAAAACAGATTCTAAACAAACACTGACATCCCATCCAGAATAAATTTGTCCACATTTTATCCACTTGAACCACTTAAGCTGATGTTCAGCATCTGATCCTAGGTACCATCTCGGTATCGGAGGAATTTGACCATTGACCTTCACTGCATTCGCTTGGGCCTCACAACGACTTCCATAAGAAGCCAGCGTAAACTTATCTTCGTGATAGCAACATCTTGTGTCCACTATCATTCCGAATTCAATTTCGTTATCTGGTATTCAAAGTAACTGTTCTGTTACTGTAACAGAGACTGTTTTAGGTGATTTTTCTTCTTCAACAAGTACTACTCAGTGGGTGGAAAACTAATCGATAATATTTTGAAAGAAAATATCTGACGTTGACCACAATCTTTGCTAAGTGTATTTACGTTTAACATTTCAATTTTTTAAGCGGTTATTGTTTTATATAAATTGAAGAGAAAAAAATCACCTCAAAATTTTCAGCAGATATAGAAGACAGATAACACTAAGCAAAATTTCTGATGACACAACTTTACTCCTGGTGGTCATAACAATAACTTAACATAAAAGAGTTGTAAGAAAATATACATGTTCGATTCCTTAAAACTACCAATTGAGAATTATTTCCATCAGGTGAGATGATTTAAAAAAAGGCAACTCAGGTATAAATACTGTGGTGTACACAGAAGTTTCAAACTAAAACTTACTGAATCGAGCTAATTAACTTTACGTGGCTATCTTCAAAAGGTTTATAACACAGCATCAGATAATTCTCGTCAGAACATTTCTTGTCCCAACAAAAGCCGGTGTTATTGTTACTCATCACCACTGCGGAAAAACTACGAAACATGTGTACTCGTGTGAATATGACCGAGATTCACTGTGACGTCACGTTCCCGGGATTTGAGCTGCCTGCGTAGATCTTGCGCAGTAAGTTGTATTAGCTGTTGCAGGCAACAGCAAGGCGAGTGGCTGGATAACTTATTGCAAACATTTTGGTGCTTTTCAGGTATCGAAGCTCGCAAAATTTGTGATATTCATCTACAATAGCATTAGGAATACGCAGAGGTATGCAATTTTCATAAAGCATTCGCTAATGTTGAAAGTGCATGAAACAGTTTGAACGGTGGGGCTCACTACCATACAAGTATATTCTACCTTCAGATATGTGTCAGGTGCCTCACTTTCGTTTGAAACTCTCAAACCTGGTATTTTCAGAAAATTGTTAGTTTAGTATATGAACTTGTTTTGACTTTTCTTGTAAACTTTTATTTTTAAAAACAAAATGATGGAATATAATTATTGAATTGTTGTTGCAATTGCAAGTACGTAGATTTGTTTATAAATGTTATGTATATTATTTTTTAAGGCATATAAGATAATATTATTAAAGTTTTAATATTTTAACGGTGCTGGTTTACCTAGCGATCTCCGATACTATTTGGAGAATTTATACAGTTGGTATATTTATACTGTATAGTAACAATTGTGTTTTTATATTCATACCCATGTAGAAAAAGAGAGATATGTGTGTGCACGTATATATATATATATACACATACATACCATGTAGGTATAGCTTTAATTTATTTTACCGCATCTAGCACCCTTTACAAATACGTAACTGTTTTATCGTCGCTAAATTTATTTCTTACGTAAATAGCAATTAAACACGTCAATGTAAACATTTTGTTTAGTGAAAGGTAATACGTTAGAATTTTGTTTCAGGTATGGCATCAATAATGCAGTGTATTTCGTTTTTTTTTATTATTATTATTCTAACTGAACTGTCGACAGAGGTCAGTCAAGTGTATTCTCAGTGCATTATCCTCGATGTGAATACGCTGTTCGCGGTAGGCCTACACTTCGTAAGATGTATTAAGATTTCCATTGAGCCTAAATTTATTATTAGGCTAAATTTTATTAGAGGATTTATTATACATGAATAATATATACAACTTAGGGGGGAGGTTAGATACTTTTTTTTTTCAGTAATGCGTAAGACCTCCAAGTGTAGGACCGAAAGTATTTCCGTTTTTAGTTCTGTAGCAGCAGAGAGGCTCGCTGATTATCGTGGAGGAACTGACGCTAGTCCTAGCGTATCTCTAAAAGACATAGACGGGACAATTACCGGTAGCATGTCCGGCTGCATCACTGGAGGCCAGGAGACTGATCCGTCACCTAGCTCAAGTCATCATGATCAACCAACAAGTAGAGAAACTTCTAAGGTAATTTTGTGGGTTTCAGATTTCAAATAATTCTATAATAAATCTGGATAAATGAGACGTTCTTTGGATCTTGTTATAAATATAATATTGTAAGAATGTAACTAAAACTGAGTGCCAAATTTAAGTTGTATAAGTTACACTTCACAATACTACTAATAGTATTATAATTTATGGTTCTAATTTAGTAATTATTAGGACTGTAGGTAATAATTGTTTTTATGGTATAAAGTACATATGAATATAATACTTTGAAAAGTATTGTATGCTTATAGAAGATTCAAATAGTGGTTCTTATTAAGGATCTGAAAGCATCTAATAAATTTTGAAGGCAATTTTAAACATTAATTAAGAAAAAAGATGAATTACGTATTTAATGCAGAAGTACTTTATACTAAATATGTGTCATTTTAGCAGTACAGTGTACTGATATTACAAATTATATTGTGAAAATAAAATGTTTAGTATGTAGTCAAACATTTTTGGAAAATTTATTATTTTAAGTAAGATTAGTTTACATTTTCATCTTATACTGTTCATTCATATTTCACTCCAGACAGTGAAGTCTGCTTCCAGAAATGTTGGGTTAAGTGGATTCTGTGACTGTATTTTAGTTGAACTACTTGGGCTAACAGAATTCTGTGATTGTGTTTTAGTTGAGTTGATGGAACTAACAGAATTCTGTGATTGTGTTTTAGTTGAGTTGATGGAACTAACAGAATTCTATGATTGTGTTTTAGTTGAGTTGATGGAACTAACAGAATTCTGTGATTGTGTTTTAGTTGAGTTGATGGAACTAACAGAATTCTATGATTGTGTTTTAGTTGAGTTGATGGAACTAACAGAATTCTATGATTGTGTTTTAGTTGAGTTGATGGAGCTAACAGAATTCTGTGATTGTGTTTTAGTTGAGTTGATGAAACTAACAGAATTCTATGATTGTGTTTTAGTTGAGTTGATGGAACTAACAGAATTCTGTGATTGTGTTTTAGTTGAGTTGATGGAGCTAACAGAATTCTATGATTGTGTTTTAGTTAAGTTGATGAAACTAACAGAATTCTATGATTGTGTTTTAGTTGAACTATTGGGGTTGAATTATAAAACTACTGAATACTAGTCATGTGTATTGGATATTAAAGAGTGTATAGAAAAACCAGCCTCCCAATCATTTGTAAATTGTAAAACTGCTGAGTCTTAGTCTCAGGTCTATAAATATTATTCTTTATAAATCTTTTTGAAAGGCCTTTCTTGCATGTTAAATGTTGGTGAGAAGAGCAAGTAGTTCTTCATACATTTTATCGTATTTTAAAATTTATGAATGAGAATCTTGTATATAAACATCATTTATACACTTAAAGATGTAGGTACAGAACTCCTTGTTAATTTACTTACCACAGTGCAAAGCCAGTTGATAGTTGTAAAGACTTACAAAGGTCTCATTGAAATTCTTCTGAAACCAAACACGTTTTTCAAAATTCTGGTATCCCTAGTTTACAGCATTTATTACAGCACTCCCTGAGCTTATCTGGTAGGTGTAAGATAATGCATTTGGATTATATTGATTTCAGTCCAAGACTGATGTGATGTGTTTGGTCACCATTTGCAAATTCTGATTGTACCACCCACCCTCCATCCCCTCTCTTCTGTTATTATAGAAATTCTAGCCAATTATGACCTGCTGCCCCTTTTGGTCTCATCTGTCCTGTTTGGATGATGTGTTTAGTATAGGCTGGGACCAGTTCAGTAGAGTGACTGAAGTAAAGGATTTGTGGATATAATGATGGATAAGTTACTCAAGGCAGTGCTCTTTTGGAAGTAAAGCTAATAGAATTTTGGTATTAATTACATTTCAAAGCAAATAGTTGTGTTTTTATACCAACCACTAGTCAGGCCTCACTTGAACAACTTTGTACAGAACTTGGTCTCCTTGTTTAAGAAAGGGTATCGATGAATTGGAAAGGGGTAAGAGAGCTATTAGGATAGATTAAGGTATTTCATTTTCTCGTGAAGAAGGAAAGGAGGTGATTTTATTGAAGTTTATAAAGTTATCTTTGGGTTTGATGGGACTTGTGGTTTCTTTATGTTGTGTTTTGAAGATAATAAGATGCATTTTGTAAAATTTGTCAAAAGACAGGTTAAGGTCCAGTTAAAGCTATTTTAATTTTCCAACAGGGAGATTGACTTATCTGTAGTGGAGGCTGGCACTTTACTGGAGTTTAAAAAGGGAATTTTTGATTTGGTGAAAAATAAAGGGTGGGTTTAATTTTTTTATTAGATCCTAAATTCAACAAGTATTTTATATCTAAGACCATGGGAAAAAACAACAACATTAACTTCAACTGTTGTTATACAGAATTCTTGAAAACAGTATGTCTTTCTTTTCAGTTATTACCAAACTTGACACAGTGATACAAGATAACATGAGGGAGGGGGTTGGACCCTCCATCTAATTTCATACTAACAGAATTCTTGAAAACAGTATGTCTTTCTTTTCAATATTGGTACCTTTATGTATTTTTATTGGACTTTTAAAGTTTATTAAAAACATTTCCTATCATTTGTTACAACGAGTCTTCATTTCACTTGTCCGGGTACTCCATCTAGTGACCCCCAGTGGCACAGCGGTATGCTTGCGGACTTATAACGCAAGAAACCGGGTTTCAATACTCGTGGTGGGCAGAGCACAGATATTCCTTGTGTAGCATTGTTCTCCCA